CCAATTTTTTCCTAGAACTATTTTATTTGTTTCTACAGAAAAGCTTGGGAAAGTGAAGCTATGCTTACACCCAGCTTATTTGCCTGCAGTAATATTTCTTATCTTCTTTTTCTAAACTGATGGATAACTGAAATCCAAGTTCGAGAACACAGTTGGAATTCCAGTCCCTGGTCTGGTGGAGGTGGCATTTTCAGTCCCAGGGAAGAAGCCAACTGCTTTGTTTATCAGCGTGCAAACTACAGCACTGTATTTCTGGTTGCCTGAGCAGCAGCACTGGCAGGGAGGAGAGATACTTGCTTGGATGAGAGATGGGTGAGAGAAACATAGTGATGGCAAATGGAGAGAGAGGAAAAACGTATCTGATGGTATATGGTACGGGTGGAACAAGTCAACGAGGTGGCAGAACCTATGGGAATACTATGGGAAAGGAGGGTTTCCATGGCAGAAGTAAAGAGACATCATGTTTCAGCACCTGAATACAAAAGCACTGTCTTAAGAAATAATGAACAAAAGTAGAAATTAAAGCTGACCTGTGCTTTGGTACATTTCTAAATGGATCAGTTGTCTTATGAAGGAGGATATATTCTAGAGAACTTAATACGTAGAAGCAGCTTGATGAAATAACCTATCTATACAGACTGGGTATAGGTCACTTAAAGTAAGAAAACAGATATGCATGAAATGATTTGGAAGTATTTTAGTATAAAATTGAAAAATAGCATTTTTGAATATGAATCTGTAAATGGACAATACAATTCTATTTTCATAGCTTGCCAAAGGGCACATGAAAATCAATTTATAGGAACTGTATTTTGGTTTGTATACTACAGAGGTGCCGATACATAGAATAAACATGTCTTATTTCAGTTTTGATTTGATTCCAAAACCCACATTTATCCAATTGTTCCTCAGAGAGCATCCTAATACTGTGACATGATTAAATGCCTCATTCTAAAATTTAATAAAAACTGATTTTCATTTTTATTTATTTATTTAAGGCTGATGTTTCTACAGCGTGGTTGGATTTTCCTCTATATTTCAGAGCTCTCTAATTCACTGCTCACACGTGAATTTACATCTTAATTATAGAGTTCACATTTAACAATATAGACAGCATAATGCTACTGGTAATTAAGCTTTTACTACCTGCTTTTATACGGTAGTCAGAGCTGCAGTTCTGTTATGCAGGCTCCAATTCCAAAGCTCGCATGCATTTATACCACAGGCCCAGCCTTTACATAAGGTTAGGCACAGAATGCCGGCATCTCTCTGCTGTGAGCACATACAAACACATCTGTTGAACTTACGTATTTCAGACTTGGCTTCTGCAGCCACGTTCATTTGGTGAAATGCTGTGCGAGGGCATTTTTGTTCCCATTGGTGAATGGAATTAACGCTTTCTGAGGGTCTGCACCGGTATGTTTTGATCTCAAAGATTGCAGTTTGCATCACATAGGGCTGCAGTCGTAAATAAAAGATTTTCCTAAGCGGTTGAGCTGAGAAAGGAAAAATAACATTTATCTGTACGTTTCCAAGTTGAGTACGGTTATTTGCTCTGAGCAGGTTGGGCGAGGGCCCCTTTCTTACTGCCGAGGCAGGCTGGCTCCCAGCAGCACTTTGCAGCGGCGGGGCTGGGCGCTCTGCGGGCACGCAGCAGGGCTCTGCTCTCTGCCCTTCCCATCGGGCAGAACGGGCTAGACAGAAACCCAGCGCGTAGGGAACGCTTCCAAGCTCTGCGCACACCGCGAGGTATAACGGTGCCGAACTGCTGCAGTGTGGTCTTACCTTGTTAAAATGAAGCAGGCAGTCCCCTCGCCGCTCCCTGCGCAGCTGGGGAAGAAATTGATCGGTTCTGGAGCTCTTCTTTCTGTTAGCTAAAGCTAAATATTTACACGTCAGCACCTAAATATTTGCACGTGGGTGCACGTTAAACACGAGGCGTTGTGCTGAGCTGCAGGAGAACGCACGTACCTGTCTGCGCGCGCTGCCCGATGCGGCCGCGCAGGTCAGAAATGGAGCTGAGCGCCGGTTTTGCCAGGTAAACGCTCCCTTAACGCGTACGGAATGAGTTGCTTTCTCCACTTTCATAAACAAGTATATGGATTTTAGATCAACAGATACGGAATATTAATACGCAGAGCCCGCTCCTGTCCTCCTCCCGGCCCCCAGCCGCTCAAAAAGTTGGGCTGTCCCCATACCCGCTGCTTCCTCCCCCCACCCCCGGCTCCGTACCTCTCCGCCCAGGGGCCGCCGACATGTCTGCGGGCGCTGCCCCAGCGGCCGCCGCCTCAGGCCGCTCCCCCCGCCCCACCCCTCTACCTGCCGCGCGGCCCGCGCGCCGCCCCGCCGCCTCCCGATTGGCCGACGCCTCACCAATCCGCCGCGCCCCCGGCCCGGGGGGACCGCATATGTAAAGCGTCGCTTCATATTCATGAGCCCGGAGCGGGGCTTTAAGTCCTTGATTAGGCGCGCGGGCGAGCTTTTGGTCCCCGCTGGCCGCGCCTGCCGCCGCCGCGCCGCCCGCCGAGCCCTCGTGCCAAGCGCGCGGCGCCGGGCCACGGAAACTTTGCCTTCCCGCGGGCGCGCGCGCGCGCGAAGAATGGTCGCCGGGCGCACATGGATTCGGTAGAACTTTGCCTGCCGGAGCCGCTCTCCCTGCACTACGAGGAAGAGTAGGTACCGCTCCCCGCCCCCACCGCCTCCTCGCGGCGCCACGGCCGTCGCGGGGCGCCGCGCGGCGGTGGCCGCCCGCAGCCCGACAGGTGCGCGCAGGGCCGGCGGGAGGGAAGGAGTTGCGAGGAGCCGCTGCGCCCGGCCCGGCCGGACCCGCGCCTCGGGGCTGCTCGCGGCCGGCTCGGCAACTTGCCGGGTTAGCCGGGAGCGCACCGCGGGGGCTGTCAGCGGGGAGCTGCACGTGGGGCCGAGGGGCCGAGCCGCCTCCCGTCGTAGCGCCGGAGGAGAGTGAGGGGGAGCGGGGCAGCCCTGGGCGCGCGGGGAGCGGCGGAGGGTCCGCGCTCCGCGGGTGCTCCGGGGACAGCTTCGGTAACGTCACGGCGCGGTGCCCGCAGCTCTTATGAAGCCGGGCAGAGCTCTTCGGAATGAATGCACAAAAAG